AGTTTGAACGTGGTGTTATAGTCGGCGCACGGGAGATGGGACATAGCATCTCCGAGATAGCAATGAAATTTGGATTTTCACGTACGACCATTTCACAAGTATACCGTGAGTATCGGAAATCCGGTAAAACATCAAATCTACGACATCGCATACATATTTGGGATGCCTTGCAACATGATGTTCAGAAGATATCCCCACCCCCTCTTACTCCCACTGGTTTATAGACAACCCTGCAGGATTCATGGTGTCAATTATCTCCAGCACTACTTCACACATTGATCGAATCCATCCCACTTCGTGTTGCGGCACTTCTGCGTGCTCGCGGTGGCCCTACACGATATTAGGCAGGTATACCAGTTTTTTGGCTCTTCAGTGTATATATATATATTGATTCATAAGGCGATCAATAAATTTACGTAAAGAGTTTTTTTTAAGACAACTACTGTCCTGTTTTTCTTTAAAACTATTAAGCACAGTACAAAAAATCTCTTTTATGGTTCTTTTAAACAAATAAATAGTACGAAAAACGAATGAGAAACCATTTCATTTAATTTTTAGAACACTAAAATGTCCGCTTTTCTATTGAGTGAACACGTGTCCCGAAACTCATGCAAAATTTGAATCTTGCGCATTTTTGCGCCATAAATTACTGCCAACAAGAAAAAAAGACTGTTACTGCTAGTAGCCCATTGAAAATAGAGCTCTGCGGGAAAAAAATGCGTCGATGAGAAATATTTTGAGCATTGTCTTTCTCTCAACGTGCAATTTCCCGTTTTGATGATCAGAGTTTGGTGTAAAACTTATGCGATTTAACTCTGTTGAACTACTTTGTGGTTTTCTTTTTCAGAATTTTAAAGGTTACGCTAACATTCTCACTATCACTCAAGCCTTAAATGATAAAATTGCATTGTAGTTCAGCTACATTAATGCAAAAAGGTCACTAAAAATTTCGATAAAAGTTTGTGTATTTCAGCCCTCTCCATCACCTGCTATAATGCTTTCTACATAACCATCCACTATATACTTTATGAATCAATAAAAAACTTACAATTTTTAAATTAAAAACTAACTTTTCTATCAAAATTACATCTTGTGAGAATTTTAGGGCCTTCTCTGTCGCCATTAAAGCCTTGCACATCTTTGCAATGTTGCACATCTTTGCAATCAGCTTGTCACTAACCTTCAATATATCTGTTCATAATAAATTTTCCATAGATACCTTAAATATTTTTCCGCAACTCCCTTAATGAGAAAATTAAATCTGAAATAAGGTACCTGAATGTTAATGAACAGTGCTGGCTCCAACTAAATCTGCTATTAAAATTGTCCGGCTATTTAAGAAAGCTCCTTGTACAAAATTTAACAACTAATTTATTACACTAATTAATATATTGACTTACCTATTGCACCGATCCTGAGAAACAAACTTCCATGACTTCTGTCATTTTCTGAAATTCGATGCTTTTTTTGCCTAGGATTAATAGTTGCTAGATTTGTTTCTGGGAGTTCTTTTCTTGGAGCTTTTTCTCCCATTTTCATTCGTAATCCTTCCATAAGATTCAACTTTCTGGAAGGTTTTGATGTTGGCTCTCTTAAGAGATATGTGTAAACATAGAGAAGGAATAAAAGACTCACAGAATACAAGAACACATAAAATCCCTACAAAGAAAATCGTAATTAATTACAAGATGTAAAAGGTAACAAGATAATATTTTTAACAGTTATTCAAAAGTAGCTGACAGTTAGAAAGATCAAATAAATAAAAACGAATGGAGATAGTAAACCATGGTGCCTGCGATTCTTTTTGAACTTAGTAAGAATGCAGTAAACCATACAAATCTATCACCTTTTGTCTTTATTTATTGACATTATTTTTTGGACTTAAGTAAAAATAAAAGTCTCTGGAATGGTAACAATATTTGTCCGATGTTTGCAAATAATGTTGATAGGCGCTTGTAAACAATCCATTCAAATTTGTAAATATTCCAAGTTTGTAACGTCTTCATGGATGTAGTTTGTCGCAAATCTGTATGCCTTTCTTCTTACAAAGATTTTTAGCAGAATTTATTGACACGTTCAAATTTCAAATAGATCTATCGAAGTAAATGGTTTTCTCAAATTTTTTTCATTGCCTCTCAAAATGTGCTAGGATTTCGTTGAATTTTTATCAATTACGCGAGTTGTAAAAAAAATAGTATTCTTAAATTTCGTTCTTAAAATTTTTTAAAAAATATACAAAAACAAAAGCAATTTTTTTGAAAAACAAAAAGAAATACTGCTATTATTTCGTATTCTAAATTTATTTTAAAAGTAAAATAAAATCGAAGATGCCTAATTTTGTCATTTCTTTTAAAACATTTTACTCCCATTCATCTGATTGTATTAAACCTTACTTCTATATCACTTTCATTCTGTTTTAAATAGCCTGTGATTATGCGTTTAAATTAACCAACTTTCCCGAAAAAACTCATATTTCTTTTGATAAAATGTAAACATAAAAGAATAGATAGCGAAAACAACTTTAATATATAAATGTCATATAAATCAGTTTCAACTATAGGCAAAAATACAGTATTTTTTATATTCTTCTGGGCTTCTAATTGAATTGGTGAGCAATGAATATTGAAATATTTAAAGGGAAATTATAACAACATTGCATCGAGTTTCAGGAAATATTGCACATTGGTGTGACCTTACTTTTTCATCAACTCCTTATATTTCACTTGGGAAAAAATTTTTTGTGATCAAATTTTTTTGATCGTGCCTAATTCAAGTGTGGGGATAATAAATTATTATTAATGTGGGGATTAGAAATTAGTTTTGCTTCTAAAACTACAGATTTATTTTTAAAATAACATTTTTAGCCTATTTATTGTACAAGTTTAAAAACATTACAAATTGCAAGGGGTTTCGTAAATGTAGTGACAATCTTCTAAGGAAGTTAGGACAGACGATCAGTATTAAAACTATATAGAAACTCATGCCCGGAAATGTTGCCGTATCTGGCTAGGGGTGCTTAGCTATTATGACCTGTTCAAAAACACGAGAAGAAACAGTTCATAATAGGAAAGCGCCACTAGTGGCTTATGATGACATTTCCAGGCATGAATGCCTATGCAATTTTAATCCTGATGATGAGCCTTATCTCCCCTAGAAGTTTGATGTAACATTTATGTGACCCTCTGTCACATATAAAGTCTTTAAACTTGAATATTTCGAAAGAAATAAACTACAAATATCATTAAAAAATTGTAGTTAGAAGAAAGAAACCGATTGAAGATTTGAATTCAGCGATATCTAAGATCTGAAGTATCTAAGATCTTCTAAATCTCATGCAACGGAAGACAGAAAAAGAAATTGTTCCTCAGTATTATCAGTTAAATTGTAAATTGTCGGAAAATTGAATTAAAATTCGCTGTTTTAATAAACATTTATATGGTAGCATAATCATTATTATATATTTTAACATTTATATAATAACATAATCATTTTCAAATGCTAGACCTTTTAAACGGTTACGGTTTTAATGATAATGTATGGCATAAAATGAAACAAGTCTTGAAACTAGTCTGAATAGCTTTAATAAACCAATCACCTTACTAAAATTATAGAACGTATCAATGGAATTATGAAAATAAAACAAGACTCAAAACTACTTTTAAAAGCTTATAAACCAATAATTCTTTATAAACCAGTTACTTTATTGAAAGTATAGAAATTGTCAAGAAACGATTTATTATTTTTATAATAATTTTCATTATTTTAATACGATATAGTAACAATTTGGTAAAATTAAAATTTATCAACTTACCTCAAAATAAAATAGAGGAACTCGAGGAGTAACAATTTCTGACGTAAAAAACACCACGCATATAACAACCAGCAGTTGAGCGTAGATCGAGCTCATCAGAATAAACTGTTGGGTTCTATTCAAAAAAAATACATTTGTTAACATTGAATCAGTTTATAAGAAGATAAATCATACATTGAGTAAAAAAAAAATGCTCAAAACTACCTAAATACGGTAAAATTTACCGACTCTATTGGAACACCAAGAACTTCGGTAATTTTAACCGAAGTACTTAGGTATTGATTTTGGTAAAATAAACTACTAAGATGTGATAAAATATGGTAAATGCTATAAAATTTAGTAATTTTTCCATGATATTTAAGAGCATGGCAAAAAAAAAAATCATTTATTTAGTTGAATTTACTTTTCAGTGTTTTATTTTTTACTAAATGTGAGGTAATAGGAACTATAATTTTGAAAACCAGAATTTCGGGTACCATAAGAATGGAAAAAATATAAAATGAATGGTTTGAAAAGCTTATATTTTGGTTCTATTTACCAGAAACATGTTCTTTTTTTTTAATTTGAAATTTCATTATCATATAGTACGGTAATTTAAGCAGAATTTTTTTCTAAAATAATATTCACTTATTATTTTAATGTAAATAAAATTAAGATCTTTATGCGGAGAGTACGTTTAGAAGATAATCAGCGTTTAATGTACGTTTCCTTAATTCCGAATCTGACTATCTCAATGAGTGTATTTATTCACCTGAGTGAAATGAACAGGGGTATTTATAAAATTGTACTTTATGATCCAACATAGAAGAAAAGTATAATATTTCAATAAAAATCTTCAATGTTTCAGTCGCTTTTTTTACAAAATAGATTTCAATAACGTTTTCCTCCCCTTCGCTTAAATACTCGTTTCTGACCCCCATAAGTGTACTTTTTTACTTAATTTTTAACAAGAAGTCTTGTAATATATTATGTATCAAGAAGGATAATTACGGAAAATCTTTTATAAGTTTTTCATGTGTACTTATTATTGACGAATAGTCATGAGATTTTTAATCGTTTTTATCGACAGTGCTTAATAAATCTCTGTTTATACCAACAAACCCACGGAATACAAATGATTCCCTACCCCAAGTATTCTTTTACGCAAAAATGATGTCTTGTTCAATTTCAGTTCAACCAGACCTTCTGACAAGGAAACAGATTTTCGAATCTTAAAAATTTTCTTTAAATAGTACCAGATACCATGCATAGTCTTTTTTCCAAGAGAATTTGTTATCTCATATGCTATACAAACTACGAAGTCAGATATGCTTTAAGTTAATGTGATAGCTGTTTTTCTTCCCTAAAGAAAAAAAGAGGCCCCTGGAAAGAAAAGATTTTGTGATACTAATAGAGATTCCTTTTTTTTTGTTTTTTTTTTTGACTCATTGACGACTAGGCAGATGGTTTGGTCACCCCTTCATTGTAATAATTTTAGGATGCTAGACTAAATTGATAAAAACTGCTTGACTAAAAATTCTCATAACTTTTATTCTAGGTTCAACGGATCTAGTATACAAAGTTTTAATTCCCGTTCATCAGATATTTTTATTGTTAAGCAGTGGTATTTCTCATAATACTGGTGGTTTCGGTTACAGAAACCCTCCAATAGGGCATTATTACATTATTACTGCATTTGCAGATTTTTTTTTTATCAGTTTTATTTTCGTTTTTTAAAAGCAAGCAAGTACATTTGGGGAAATTGCTAAGACTCCCTCCTAAAACATCTCAAAACATAATAGGACTTCGCAACACACAAAAAGTAAAGATTTTTTCTTTTTCTGTTACTTAATTACAGGCTTTATTATATCCTGATTTATTCCATTTTTTAAAAAAATATTGTATCAAATTCAACTGAAATTTAAACAACATGAAGTTTTTATGGATAATTATTAAGATTATTATATACTTGCAGATTTTGCAACATGTGTGTTGAAAACTGAATGTTTTGCAATAATAATCTCTGCATAACTGCAATGAGGTGCCAGACAAATTTGGACTTAACGCAGATTCTCTGCATAAATTCTGCTACCTAGCTGGTGACTATTGAAGAACGAAAATCTTCGGACTCGCCATCGTTTTGTTGAAATTGTTTTGAAGGTGTCATAGCTTATTAGCAATTTCTAGACATCTTTTTTTTTTATTAAAAAAATACATCTAATTTTAAGAATGGCGAAATTTAAGAAATCAATAAATTGAACTAAAAATATGAACTGTAAATATTGAAACCAATTTGATTGACTGATAAAATACTAACGAATATTTAATAAGCGCATTCCAATTGTCTTCGATTCATCTGGTAATCTAACAGGTTTTGATGTTTTCAAGCTTGTATTTTTCAGTAGTAATTTGATAGATTTTGATAGCATTTATATTTTTGCCTCCTAAATATTTAATTTATTATTTAGAGGAACATTTAATAACATTTTAATAACATTTTAATAACATTTATGGAATATGTGAAAGAACTAGTTAAAAACAAGCTTTAAAATTTTTAATAACCTTTATATCAACAAAAATATAGCTATTTTTCAAGGGAAAAAATATTTTTTATCAATCATTATCTCAATTTTGTTGCTCAGTTTCTTTATTTTCTTATGCAACTCTGTAATATTTGTGTTTATGCACGTTAAATTATATTTTAAGCTATGAAGATTCAATTATTTATTTATTGAACATTCGAATGATTTTATATTGACAAATATTAAGATTTTATACTAAATAGCCATATTATTCAGTTGGGAATTTGAAATGGCTAAGAACTTTATATATATATTTTTAAAGTTCTGGTTATCAAAATAAAATTAATCTTTGAAATACGTCAATCAATTCGTTAATAATAGAAGGCATCTAAAATATTTAATTGATGGAGTTAGTGTTGCCATCTGTTGAGAAAAATAGTATTATAACTGTAATTGGCATAACTTTTATTGCAAAAAAATGCAGTTATTTATGTTGTTTAATTAGTAACTAAGTATTATGCTCAATTAATAACTTGGCAAATAATCTGTGCTTTTTAAGAATATATTAACATGTAACAGACTTTCATAATCCTACACTTAATTCCAGGTGAAGATTTCTTCCTACTTTATATTATTTAAACGCGGAATGCCGCTGCCATCTGTCGAAAAATATAGTATTTATCTTTAAGACAAAATAAATATGTTAAAGCGACTATCAAAGACTATCAAAGCTTTTTTATCTGAAATGTTTTATACTGGTGATTCTATGGAAACATGACAATTCGGGAAAAAAAAAAAATTCTTCAAATTCAGTCTTCAAAATAATCCAATTTTTTTTTTGTATATTTATTTAGTTACATTTATTAATATCTTACAGACAGCAGTGTAGTTTATTGACATTTGCTCAAGAAAAAAAAATAAAATAGAAATTCACCATATTTTGAATGCCTGGAAAATAACTTATTAGCTTAGAAATTAAGAAAACAGTCATTTTAAGCTAATAGTAAGTAACTCAACTTAAGAAACTCGGAAAGAAGTTAATTTTAACTTTTTATGTAAATAAATTCCAAAAATAATTATTGTGAGCTATTTGATATTCTCGGCTTCTTGTTTTTTTCCCCCTCAGTTAATTTTTCCTTGATTGTTTTTAGGCCTTGATTGTTTTTAAAATAACCTAGTAAAATTAATTCTATAATAATTTACATCAGAATTTTTATTTCCTTTATTATTTAGATTTAAAATATTTCAAATCATTTAATTTTACAACTATATTATATTCTTTAATGTATACACCCATGTAGAGTTTAAAGACTATGACAGAATTAAATTGTACAGTGATGTTCTTAGTTTATCCTTCACATTTTAACTATCTGTGTTTTGAAGTGTGTGTATTTTATATATAGTATTTTTGCACTAGAATCTGCATTTTCCCTCTTCTTTTGACTAGATTTTAACCAATATAAATGTGAACTATTCTATAGTAGCAGAGCATTACTTATGGTACTGGGCTGTAGTCAAAACTTTGACTCTTACGAGGTCTAGGCACGCTTCTATAATGTCCGTTGTCAATTTATTTGAATAGTTGTCTTTTCTATTCGAGATGAAACTGGTTCAGCCCAAGCCCTGGCCCGACGCAAGCTCGTTATAGCTAGCTATACGAAGTTTTCGGGTTTAAGCTCATGATAAAGCTGTAATTTCCTACTATCCTCACATTAAAAATTCTTAAATTTGCGATGCCATGATTCGTAAAATGGATTATCTCAAATAATGCAATTTTATTAATTCACGAAATTTGTCACAAAGAAGTGCTTTTGAAGTTTTTTGAGCCTGTAGGACTTTCCAAAACTAGCCAGAGCTTATCTCTCTGTTTTCTGCCAATTATTTATTCACAAGATGATTATTTTTTCAAAAAAATACCGAACCTCTTTTTTTGAAACATTTTTAAAATATCTTGCAATTTTTTGTACATGCAGCATACAAAAAAATATTATCAAATGTGCCTTAAACTTAAAAAAAAAGTTCAGATTTGACAGAGGTTGACATAGTCGATTTATAATTCCTCTCACATTCTCAAATTTGTTAGTATGTAATTTTAAAAATTTCCTTCGAAGTTGAAAATTTATGATGAAAAGTTTCTCAAAAAAAGATGTTGGCATATCATACGCTTGTATTTACTACGTCAAAATTTCGTTAAACTTTTTTATTTTCTTGTACTATGGCGATTTAAAAATATCTATTAGTTTCAGAAGGCCTTCCCTTTTTTACTACACCTGAATTCCTAAATCGGGCTTTAAACATGTCTATGTAAAAAAAAAAAAAAAATGAGGGCGTCATCAAATATAAAAACTATTCATTAATATACCATATTTACTTGCTAAACTGTACATTTATTTTATAATTTATAAAACCAATGCTAAGGGAAAAATAACGCCCACATTTCTAATGATTTTTGATGAAGGAAACATATGTAGCAAGTCCATAAATAAATTTATCTAATTTATCAAGCTCTAAGACAATTAAAATGAAATTTTTACCAAAATTTTAAAGGTTGATTACATTTTTGCATGTTTTGATTTATACAAAGAGAATAAAAGTTAATTGACCCTGATCACTC